ATTATTATTTTTTGGATAAAAATTAATAAATTGAATAAATTTAAATCATTAAAAATTAAAAGATAAATAATTGAGATTTTGTATAAATGTAGTGTATAAGATTTACATATAACTAAATTTCTATTCATATATATACATTTAGAAAAGAGATTCATTTACATACAAATTTTACATATTATACTTATAGAAAATCTTAACTATTTTTTTTCTCACTTTCAATTATTGAGATTTATCATGAGTTTTTAAGTAAAAAAATTATTTTTAATAAATGTGAATAATAAGTAAATAGATAGATAATTAAAATTTTATGTAATCATAATATATAAAATTTATATATAAGTAAATTTCTTCTACTCATACATTTATATATATTTTTTTCTTTACTAAATTTTTGGGTGTATAAGTGGTGCAACAATTATTTGTAGATCTGACATTCTGACCCCTCAACATGTGAGATCACATTGCTCACCCGCAACTCCAGTATGATTCTGAACCTCAGCAACTCGCGCTGTATCTTATTTCTCTCTGCATTCCCCTTGTACACATACACACACAGAAACGGAAGTTGCATTCAATTAGCACCAACAAGATGAGAAACATTATTTACAGGACATTAATGAATCCTCATTTTGCAAATGGGTATGTTCTACTAAATCTTAAATAATCTCGACGAAAAAAATCAGAGATAAGAGTTTCTTGAAGATCTAGTCTAGAGTCTAGACATGACAGTTATCTTAAACCCTGTCATGTTATGCAGACAGAAAACATTCAGACAGCAAGCCCGTGAACTCCAACTTCATCCAGAATGGTCTGTTGGAGCTCCAAGACCCCACCTTTAAATTTGGTTAATATTGTTTTTATTCCTAAAAAATAAACAGGGAAGAGAAAGATGGACTGAGAGTTTCCTCACATTCATGGTTAACAGAAGAGAAAAGATAACAAAGTAGAAACTGAAAGGTAGAAGAAATGGTTGCTTTATTTGTAACCTGAAGTTGTGATGCCAATTGTAGATTGGGGAAGCTAGTATGTATACATGCACGTGCATGGGGCAGAACCCACATGTCCTTATTGATGATGATATAAGAGCAATGAGCATGCATTTAAAATGTGGTGGAATCCTTCAACCAGTTTTTGCCCATGAAAGTTTCAAAATTTTCCCTTTCATATTCTGAAGGTTCCAACTTTCTTGTTCAAGAAAATTACTGATTGGGAGAGTAGAAAATGGTAACAATCTTTTTTAGTTTTCTTAACTTTTTAGTATAAAGGTTGGAAGAAAGGAATTATTCAGAGTAAGAGAGAGAGAGAGAGAGAGAGAGAATAGACTAAGAGAAGACAACCACACGCACGCTATACCCTACTAACTTTGGGCAACATAAATGAGTGCCCTCTAACACCCATATCTAGTGTCGGCTGCAATATCTGATTAACTAAAGTTATGGAGAGATTTAAAACAGCGAGGTTGAGTGGACCTTATTAGTTAGGAGAATGATTATTAGTTTATTACACATATTTTTTTATTTAACATATTTCACAACATATTTATAAAAAAAAATATTATTTTTAAATTAAAATTTTTTAAGACAAAAAAAATTTTAATTATAAAATTTAATAGTTAAATAAGAATTTAATGACTGAATAAGTAAGTATTAACATGTGTATTGAATTAAAAGATGTGTTAATTATTTTCCCATTAATTAAGTTTTACAAACAATAATAGACCAAAACAGAAAGCAAAGAAAGTGACGGAATCGAGTGGTTTTTAACTAGATTATACGGTCCTTAAATGTACTTTGATTTTGAGTGCCTAATGTGATGGTGTCCAAACAGGTTCATGTGCAGCTCAATACCTCCAACTACAAGCCTGTTCCTCAACCATTATTGATTCCTCCTAATTTTTCTTCCAGTACAGTAGAACAATGTCGAAATGAAATCATTGGGAACCCTGCACCTTGAAGATATTTGTTTTTAAGATATTTGCTTTCCAAGTATGTTTGGGCTCTTCATTCATTGGAGACTACAAAGTGCAACAAACCCTGATAGCCTGATAGGAAACAAACGTAAGCAAATCGAAAAGGAGTGGATTGTATCTGGGAACATGCCCATATATCACATTTCTGGACCATATGAATATTGAATAGTTCTCACCAGGCATCAGAAAAGGAAACATGTAAGACAAGCAACACTTAATGGAAAGGGTTTGCATAAGCATTTTCCAATAACATAAATCCAAATCTCAATGAGGTACAACAAATGAATCCACATCGAAGAAAATAATGACTATCGCTTCTTAGTTCTCCCCCCTCGATCCATGCTCTTCTTCTTCTTTTTTTAATTTTCAAAGAGGAGATATTGGGAATCAAGATTTAAACAACTATGTAATCTAATCATGTTTAAAGGAAATACAGTGAGAACATAAAAACTAGCAGTTAGCAAGTGTGACCACCTAGAGACAGAAATGTTGGTTCATTTGCGATGAGCCTCCAGATCAGACATCAATTTTGCTGGTTTGTTCTTCCTTTGCTGATACTTTGCGCATGAATACCACACACCACCAGCTGTGTTGATAAGTAATCCAGTAACATTCAAGCCATGTACTTTCACACCACCCAGCAAGACAAAACCAAGAGTCTGAGAATATAAATTTCATTAGAAAGGGGAAATAATCATAGCACTCAAACAATCTATTTTGATCTTATCAAGTTAACAAAGGCAGGGCAGATGAAAACACAGCAATCAGAGACTTGAGTGATAATCTAGACATACCGTAGACCCAACACCTTTGAGGACTCCAACAATGGTTGTTGTTAGAGCAGAGTTAACAATGGTACACAAGAACATTGTGTAGTTGAGAGCTATACCCATCACCAGCGAAAGAATAAGGGTCACCAAAAATGAGAAAGAGTGACTCTGCAAATAAAGGCATATTAGGAATACAAGGTCACACAATGTTCACAGGCCACTCTTTTTAAAACTCTATGAAATATGAAAGGTTTCAACTAGTATTTCACCCTAACATCTTTATCTCAGGAAACAATTTAAACAAGTCAAAATGCTATCCAGCAGATTTGAGAATGAATCTGAATCTAAAGAAAACATGGAAAGATTCTTACCTTTGCAAATAATAGTGACAAAGAATTTGGAAACTCTCCTGTTACTATGATGAGAAAAAGCAAAAATGGAAGAGACAGAAAGCTATTATAAAACATGATCTCAATTGAAGAAAGCCCATCTTCTGCACCAGACTTCTCCACCAACACAAGGTACATGGTCTGCAGTTGAAATTAAACACTATTATGATAGGAGCAAGAGCCATACCAGGCACTAATAGCAGAGCTGAAAATGTCATACTGAAGCAGTAACACACACATCCATACTCAAAACCAACCTGGAAAAAGACAGAGGTTAAGGCCATGCTATATCCAAAAAGATCGAATGAAAAGTCTCCAAGTGCAGCAATAAGAACTCCAGCAGCAGTGAGCAATACTGAAAAGGTCACCTGAAATTTGAGAGAGAAGAAAAATGAGTTTTAGAAGAACTCCAAGTAATTAAATTGAGTTAATATCAAAATCAAATTCAGACAAGCTAGGGAGCAATCAAATGCACATTATGAACTTTATGATCATGGGCAATGTTGTTGCCAAAAGTTTCAACTCATTCTTCTAGTACTCGGTTTCGATTAAGAAGTTTACATAGTCAAAGCTACTACTAATATATCATCAGGATGCGAATACAACACACACAAAGAAAAGACAGGCAGTCACAAATGCACATGCTTATTAAAGAAACGGTGGCAGATACCTGAGTTGTAGGCTTTCCCTTTCCAGAGAAAAATCCAGCGATTAGCACAGCAAGCGGAGTAAGCCTCTTAATTGCAATATACATTGGAATATTGACCCCTTTCAAGCTGGCCAAAGCAAACGCCACATTTGCATTGTAGAATAGAGAAACGGGTAGAAGCCTTCTAGCTGTTATCATATCTACACCTCTGGCTTTTGTGTATCCAAATTGTCGACCAAAGTGTATAAGAAAGGTAGTTGCCAATTGCTAAGACAATCAAAGACAAAAATAGGTATCCCCCGTAAATAGCCACAAAAGAAACCAACTTGCAATAAAACTTTAAAAATTTCAACACTATCCTTTCGATCTCTCTGCACCATACCTGTACGGTGAGAAGGGTCATGGAATAGGCATACTGCATAACAATTGCCTTGTTGATAAAAACCATAGCCATAGAAGCAACTCCATACGACAATGCTGCAAATAAACTGTTTCGGAACAAAGCATCACTTTACAACGGTATTTGAAAGATTTGGGTAGTGATTTAAACATTTATAAGCATGCTTACATTAATTAATCCTTGTTTCAAAGCACTCTAATCTTTCATTATTAAGGTTTTAAGATCAAGAAAAAAAAAGAGGGGCAAAAACTGAAAAGGGGAAAAAGTACTTTTTTGACGCAAATTAAACAGACAGCACTCTGAGGCTCTGACACATGAAATCTCAGAGTGTACGATCTAACATAAATGCCATACAGTGTTCATATTGCATTTATACAGAACCAAATTCAAGTGGAAAAACCAACAAGCACTAACCTTAAAGATGAACTTGCTCCTGCATCGATGCGATTATCCATTGTCTAAAACCCAAAATTAATCCCGCCGGTGAACAATTTCCGCCAGCAGTAGCTCCAATTACATTATCAAATCCAGAGATTCAACCGCTAAAGCTAAAAAATTTAACAACAATCTGAAAATCAAAGAACGACCCAGTTACGAAATTGGGAAGATCGAAATGGGTATCAAAGCATGATTAACCAAGAAAAGACCTGGTAGAAAACCAATTGAATCACATTATCAAGGAAGTTCCTTTTCTTTTCGGGAAATGAAGTCAAGGTTATCTTAGATCCCAAGAAGGGAGGTTTTGTGATAGAAAAAGAAAGAAAAAGAGGGATATGAAACACAGGAGTAGCGCGTGAAGAAATGAATTTTTTTAAAAAATAATAAAAATTATTTTAAAATGGGGGAAATAGAATTTTGAGAAAACAGCTGGCGAGTGGGAATCGCATGCAGCAAAGCCATGGCTACCTTCCCCTGCATTTCCGGACAAAAAAGAAAGGAAAAAAAAAGGCCATCGCCATCGGAGCACGCTTGGGATGTTTACTGCCGCTGTTAAAACCGCCGACCCGACCGGAAGTTCCCATAAGGTGGGGCGGGCTCGATGTCCCAGGCCCAGTCAGACTCAGGGCCATTCCTCGAATCTGGTAGACCCGTTTGGAAGTACTTACAGGGCCGGGTTGGAATTGGCAGCTTTTCTGAAAAAGTTCTGACTTACGGGGCCAAGGCAATTGGGAAAGTATATTACACAAAAGTTAAAAAGTAGCGTACGCAAGCTAATTGAGCTAATTAAGTTTTATAATAAAATTTTATTAAAATATAAATTGTATTGTGTTTTAATAAAAATTAACATAAAAAATTGTTAAGAAAAATTATTAAGTAGATCTTATATAAAAATGTTATGAAAATTTTTTTCTCTTGAAAAAAGGTGAAAAAAATTTATAAATTGAAAATTGTGTTAAAAAAATAAATATAAAATTTTAGAGAAAAAGAAAAGTTAATATGTTTTGGTATTAAGAATGTTAGATGTTTATCTATAATTATTAAATATATAGGGTATAATATAGGTTTTAAGTTTATTAAATTTATTATGAGTCATTATTAAATATCATGATATTTTTTAAAAAATAACTGAAAAATAATATTTTTATATCACTTTTTATATAATTTTATATATTATTTAAATAATTAAGTTTTGGTTTATTTAAGATATATGCTATTGAGTGTATCTATAATATATAAAAATTATATAAAAAATTATTAAAAAATTATCTCTACATTATTTCTCTATCTTTAATGTCAAAATATTTTAATTTTTTATTTTTTAAAATTTTATTTATTATAATTATAAGATAACCATCAAAATACCTTCACAAAAATTGTAAAAGAGAGTATTATTTTCACTTCTTAAAAGGTCAAAATATGAATTTGGTCCCTCAATTTTTAGCTTCAAAAAATACTAAATTATCCCTAAATTTTAATTTTTGATACTAAAACAATCTTTTTGTTAATAGAAATATCATATAATTCGTTAATAGAAATATCATATAATTCGTTATTTTACCATAAAATCAGTTTTTTTTAAATGCTAATAATGTGTAGAATCAAATAGTTATATTTTGTTATTATGATATATTTTTATTTACATATTAAATTAATATGAAACTAAAGTTAGAAGGTCAAATTGATATTTATAATTAAAAGTTTAGAATTAAGTTAGTATTTTTCTTTAAAATTTAAAATTTAATAACCAAATTAATATTTATCTTCAAAATTTAAGTATTACTTTAGTATTAAAAATTAAAATTTAAAGATAATTTTAATATTTTTTAAAATGAAAAAATTATTTTAATATAAATATAAAAATTAAGGATCCAAACTAACATTTTAACTTCTTTAATTAAAAAAATCAAAGAGACACCTTAGAACTAGGGATGTCAACGGGCCTACGAAGTCGGGAGTCCTTTTTCATCTTTGTCCTCGTGAATGGTAGAGACAGGGATCCCTGCGAGAATTCCCATTCTCTACCGATTAATATCAAGTTATAAATCTTTTAGCAAAACCGACATCATTGACGTAACCAAACGCAACTA